TATTACAAGAATTTATAAACGCTTCCGCACCAATATATATATATATATATATAGATTCTCTCAAATTTTCAAGTTTTTCAACTTTGTTCTTGTTTAAGAATTCTGATTCCGCTTCAGAATCACTACTCAGGAATCTTTCTAAAAAAGTTGGACTCCACTTTGAGAATAGTAGACCGCTTATTCTATTCCCCAAAAAAGTACAGTTAAGAAAGAAAGAGAGATATCATTTAATTCCCCAATTTACCTGATAATTCCTGCCATCATCCGTAATCCCATGAAGAGAGTCAAGCCTGACCAAACACCAGGAAGACCAAAAACTGTAGGAGCCCATAGCAAATATGCAGAAGATATTGCCCCCACCAGCATCTACATTTCATAACCACATACATCAACCTACATTTCATGCTCTCATTAGCGACACAACAAAATAGATTAAGCTTACCATAGAATGTGCCGCATAAGGGAAGTCCGAAACACCATAATGGAGACCATCGAAAATAAATGCTAGTGCATTCATAGGTTGACTGGCACTTACAAACTTTACCAATTCATGGTATCATATTAGAAAAATGTTAGCAGTGCTTACATTAATTAAACAGATGAACAAAGATATAATGAATGAACCCACAAATTGATAACTTACCAAAACACCAGTTTTAACAACTCTTAAAACTTCAACATCCTTGGTAAACAAAGGGGCCAAAGAACTAAAAGAAACACCCAAAATCACAGCTAAGGAAACACCAGCAACAAATCCTATCTGGAAAAGCACATGCAACAAAAATCAAAGCATATTCACATAACAACAGTTCAGACTTACATCCTAAACATCACTTGAATAAGAATCTGCAGAAACGAAGTCTCAGAACATAAACAACTCAAAAGGTACCTTTAACACGAAATGCGTGACATCCTTCACAGTCCTGTAATCATCTTTTGAAATGTAACTGGCAACCAAGGCCTGCAAAAATCAAAATTTACTATAGTACAAAATAGAAAAACTATGTCAAGTGTGCAGTAACACTGCCATGATGTGGATATTTTGACGAGCCCATGAATATTCAACTTCAGAAAATAACTGTCGCTAAAGGCCATCTCCAGAACTTGTCCAATTGATGTATAAGAAAATATTCACTGCAGTTCCTATAATTCATCTCTGCTACACATACGAAACAAATCAAATAGATAACATTCTACCGAATAGGCAGTGCACATATAAATGTATTCTTCCAAAAAATATTCTTTACTTTTGCTTGGCCTTCTTGAAAGCGTAAATCGAAAGGAGAAAACCAAAGAAATGAAAAGAAAAATATATAGAGAAGCAGATGAATTGACAAGTAAAAGAACAAAGACAACCATAGCAAAAGAACAATAACAAAATGAAAAAGAAAAAAAATCACCTGAGCTGATGTACCAAGTGCATCTGTGAGAAGGGATACAGCCAGCCAGACTTGTACGCATATTTGGTGAGCAGCCATTGCTACAGGACCCTGACGAGCAGCCATTGAAGTACCGAGTGTCAGTGTCAGAAGGACAGCAAGAGTTCTCCCAATAAGAAAACCACCTAACAGGCCAAAAACATAATTATGTTAAAAAATTAAGGCATGTATTAGGAGAGATATCCATAGCACATTGATTGCAACTGAGAAGAAAATTGATAATAAGTAAAACATCTAGGAGAGTGTAAACTATTTGATACTCTAGATGACAACTGATTGGAATCATTAATAAATAGGAAGTCTTGGAGCCAAAATCATATAACATTGACTAAATATCGGCAGCATGTCTAATGTGTTCAATATAGGTACTTATCTTAGAAAAATCATTTCAACAATTGATATTTGTTATGCACAGGCTGAAAAGC